AGTAGTATACTTTAATTAATAGCTATAGTTAGGCCTATTAGGTACTTAATTCTAGATAGCTATAGCTTATTTATACTAGCTGCACGTTAGTAACGTATTAGTAAAAGATTAGTCTGTCTAGTATTATTCTAATTTATCTTACCTATACTAGTTTCTTAAGAGAGATAGAAGCTTAAGAATTATAAGATATTTAGCTATAGGCACTTAACTAGGTAGGGCTTAATAGTAGGTATTAGTGTATTATAAGACTTAAGCTTATAGAGCCCCCTATCTTGTTAGGCCTCTGCTGTAATAACTCTATAGTAGGGTGGGGTCGCTAGAGCCTTAGTAACTAATTACTAAGACCTATAACTACTGTTATAAATCCTTTTACACTCTCTTATTAAAGTACCTAATAAATCTAAGTATATAGTATATATATATTATAAAGTAGTATATATATTATCTATTTTATACTTAGTACTTATTAATATACTAAGAAATAATAAGTAATATATAATTACTTTATATAAGTAATATATTATTTATAGATAATAAGGTAACTTATTACTTATCTTAAGGATATAATGTATATAATTTCAAAAGACTAATATAATAAAAGATAGTACGCTAGGTAATAGTAACTATATTTATAACTAAGGCTAAGCTTCTTAATTTAAAATATATAATAAAGAAGCTTATTACTTTATAGTGTTTTTTTAAAGATATTAGCTTTTATATAAAGATAAATATTATTATAAGCAGGTTAAGGTAACTAACTCTAGTATAAAGCAAAAGCTTTAGTAATAATACACCTATATTATTATCCCCTGTTTTACACTATATAGTTATATATTAGCTAGCACCTAATTAGCAGATTATAACACTATGTCTTCCCTCTAAGAGGTATGTCCTAGGCCTTAGGTAATAAGTCTAGGCATTTTTAGGTATAAGCAGGGAAACTCTAGTAGTAGTGTAGGGTAACTAGTCCTATACATACTGCTTATAGTTAGAACGCTAAGGACTCTAGAGAGGATCCTGTCTAGCTAGCAGCGCTAGGATTTAAACCTATGCCCTCTACATAAGGCAGGTACATTATTATATCACAAGCAGGTTAGGGTAACTAACTCTAGCATAAAGTAAAAGCTTTAGTAATAATACACCTGTATTATTATTCCCTGTTCTACACTATATAGTTATATATTAGCTAGCATCTAATTAGTAGATTATAATAAATATCTAGAAATTATACTATAATAATTAGTAAATAATATATCTTATTATAAAATAAAAAAGATTATAATATAACTTTAGTATAATAATATTTAAAATATATAGTTATATAAAGTATATACTAAAAGTAATATTAATATTATATATTTACTTATAAATAAAATACTAGTAAATAGACTTATAAAGAATCTACTATATATAGAATTTAAGCTCTTTAAAGTAATACTAAGCTTATAAGACTTATAGTAAGTAATAGTAACTAAAAGTAAAAAAAATAAAAATAAAAAGTAAAAGTAAAGTAAAATTAAAACTAGCCTAAGAGCTAAAAAGCCTAAAAAAGAAAATTCAAAATAACCTTAGACTAGGGGACCTAAGGTTATATAAAGATTAAAAAATAGCCCTAGGCTAAGAAGCTTAATTATTACTTATTATAACTATAAAGAAAAGTATTTATATATATATTAAGAAAAGTTAATAATATAGACTAAGTGCTTTAGTTAAGAAGTAACTTACTAATAAGGCTATTAATATTAGTATATATATAAAGTACTTTAATACTTATAATACTAACTAAAGGTAAGGCTATTATAATAGCTTTATCTCTTACCTTACTAAGCTTATTCTCTATAGCCTCCTCTTTTTCTTTTTTTTATTAGAAAACAAAGAAGATATAGTAGCCCTCTTACTCTAAGGACTAGTAGATAAGACTACTTATACTATATAATAAAAAGCTATAACTTACTATACTAAGAAGTTAAAAAACAAATACAAAAGTAATAATATATATACTAATTATAAGGTATTACTAACTAATAAAGCCCTTAAAAAGATATTAGCTAGGCTAATTAGTACTATAGAAATTACCTTAAAAGTATAGTAGTTTATTATATAATAATAGTAATTACTATTAGTACTTAAAAGATATAACTTATTAAAATAACCTATAAGTATATTATAAAAGTAGTAGTTATAAAAGCTAATAATAGTAGCCTTAGCTACTAACTTATTAACTAAGAACTTTATAGCGTTAATAAAGATATTATTATTATGACTACTACCTTCTTTACTATTACCTTTAAGAGTAAAAGAAAGGTCCTAACTAAGATTACTAGTAGTACTAGTATCTAGGACTAATAATAAATCCCTTAATCCTTTAACTATAGTAATAATATAAGTAATAAACTAATAATAATTTAGTAAGAGGTAATATACTAAGTAATAATAAAGAAAGGCTATTAATAAGGTCTTTTTTTATAGTAGTTAAGTAAGTTTTATAGCGCTTTATATATATATAAATATTAGCCTAAAAGGCCTATAACTAATAGACTACTATTATACTTTACTTAACTACTAATAAGGTAAAAGTAAAGGCTATAACTTTAGCTTTTTTTACAAAAGCTATATAATAGTTAGTAATAAGTAATAAATAATAAGTAAAATAAAGACTTATAAGCCTTCTCCTTAGAGGTATCTTAGCCCTTTATAGGCTAAGAAGGCTTCTCCTTATACTACTACTTTAAGTAGTATAGGAGGGAGGTAAGTAAATTACTTACCTAAGGAAAGTAACTACCTTACTATATTACTATAATATAATAGTATACCTCTCTAGTAGTTATTATTTTATAAGGTATCTAAATAAAGATATTAGTAATAAATAATAATTACTAATAATAAGTAATAAAAAGTAAAAAGATATTATATACAGAGAGTTCATAAAAGAAATACAAATTTAATACAAGTGTTAAGGACTTTTAAGTGTAGCTAAAAGATATATATATATATATATTAGCTTATATAGTATATAGAAAAATATATAAAAATAGGTATTAGAATCAGGAGACAGATGGGCCACATTTCACAATTATAACGCCAATCAAACACACACGCATGATTTACCGACACGTGCGAGCGAGTGAGTTTGCTGCCATCGGAGCAGGCCCGGGCTAAGATCTATACTATATATTAATTATATAATTTATTATTTAAAGTTAAGCCTTATAAGTAGTGTATTTAAGAAAAAATATAAGTCTCTATACAAAATACACTTTTAACTCTCTAATTATATAATATAAAAAGAAATTAATTACTTATAGTTTCTTATTATTATTATTAAAAAAAAGTAGGCCTATATAATAAATTAATAGACTTGATAAGTAACCTAAGTACACTAAGCTAATTAAAAAATATAAATAATAAAAAGCAGTTATTATATAATAATAGCCTTTTTATACTAGATTTTTATTTATCTTTTATTTACTATTAAATTATCTAGTTAGTAGCTAATTATATACTACTACCTAGGGGGGTGTATTATAAGAAATAAGGTAGCCTTATATAGAGTATTACTATATAACACTACTTCTAGTATAATATCGCTTTGTAATTTAGGAATAAGGCACTATTTAGCTACAAGGCATAGTGTAATACTATCTAGAAATAATAAGCCACTTTTAACTATATAAATTACCCTTATAGTAAGACTACTTTGTAATATTATATTATATATAACTATTTATAGTAAAATCCTATAAGGGTGAGGAAATTCCCTTATTTCTTAGTTAGGAAATCCTAGGCTAATCCTAGTAATATTATTAGTAAAATTACTATTAAAGTAAAGCGATTTTACTGCTTATTCTCTGGTGATTTGCTATAAGGTAACTATGTATTTGCTGGTGAATTTACGTGTACTTTCGCCACATTTAACAAATTTATATCCCAAGTAGCACTAATCACAGGTGACGCAAGCCTAAGCAAGAGTAGTAATGTTGACTAACCTAGCTGGGACACTAGGGCCTTAGATTTTTGTGCACGACTACCTAGGTAGTTGATATTATCTCTTTTAGACGGAAAGCCTAACTACATAAACTGTATTTGCTTAATTCCTAGACTAAACCTTTGACTCTCTCATCTTCACCCCTCGTCTCTCTCGGCCTCGCTCGTCCATCCATCATCTCAAGAAATAATGGCCGTCAACGAGATCTTCCAGTACTCCATCATCTCGGCCCTCATGGACGGCGTCGCCTCCGAGGGCTTGCCAATCTCGGAGCTCGTCTCCCACGGGGACCACGGCCTCGGCACATTCCGCTACATGCGCGGCGAAATGGTCATGCTCGACGGCAAGCTCTACCAGATGCAGTCGGACAACACAGTGACCCCCGTCGACACGAGCCCTGCCTCCGACGCCGTCGCCCCCTTCGCCATGGTCACCCGCTTCCGCCCGACCGTCACCTTCAAGGCCGCCTTCGCCGACAAGAAGGCCCTCTTCGCCCACCTGTCCAGCCACTTCCCCGACTCGCGCAACTTCTTCCTGGCCATCCGCATCGAGGGCGTCTTCAAGGGCATCACGGTGCGCACCGCCGCCGGCCAGACCAAGCCGGGAGAGGGCCTGATGGAGGTCGGCAAGAACCAAGCCTCGCACACCTTCGAGGAGCCGGTACGCGGGTACGTCATCGGCTTCCGTTCCCCCGAGTACACCATGGGCATCAGCGTCGCCGGCGACCATATGCACTTTATCACCGAGGACCGGACCCAGGGCGGCCACATCCTGTCCTTCGGAACGGACGGCGACGTCGAGATCAGCGCGGCGCAGATCTCAAAATGGCACGTGGAGCTGCCGACGAACGACCCGGATTTCTCCAAGGCCAAGCTAGAGGGGGACAAGGAGGGCATCGCCGCGGTTGAGGGTTAGATGGGGCAACGTCAAGCTGCCGAATCCTATTCTCTTTACCTACCTACTACCTATTTTCATTGTAATTGTGGTTGTGGTGACGGGATGAATGTCCGCGACCGATCGCTACCACTCGTCGTTGCATCCCCAACAAGACATTCTTCGACCTCTTAGGCGTGGATAACCGAGAGTACATCCCCCCGTGCCAAGGCCGACCGATGCATTGACAATCAAAGAGATCATCGATATTATCTTGCTTGGCTGCAGCACCCGACCAGGATGACAGGTCCCCTGTTAACTGAGAGAGTTGGGGCGCGATGCGCATAAACTAGTAATGTGTCAAAATCACAACGCCGTACATGTGACGGTCACATATGTTGGAACAAGTTTTTGTAGCAAGATTAAAACGTGAGAAAGTCGTCATGTTATTTATTTCATGTGTAGAAGACACCCATGGCTGATGCCACAATACGTGTCCTCGTCGGCCATGCTATGCCATGCCAAAAGATGCCCAAAGATCTAAACCGTAAAAGCCCCGCCATTATAACAAATATCACGGGGGCGGCTGGTCTTCAGGCCCCCTTTATTCGATTAATTTTTGTCTAACCATTGCAGATTCGTAGAAGTGTGAGAGTTGCTCGTTGTCAAGCTCGATATGCATCCCGCTTAGAAGGAGTAGCTGCAGCCGACGGGGGTGGGGATCGCGACGGCGCGGGCAGAGATGCCGACGCAGTCCGTGTTGCCGGCGGGGTTGGCGACGCCGGCATTGACCCAGACGCTCCATGAGCCATCGATGCTGTTGGGGCAGGCGATGAAGCCGGCGCCATCGAGGCTCAGGTTGCCGGCCTCGTCGACCACCCAGCCGGTGCGCTCGGCGTTGATGGGGGCAGGCTGTGCGCCGGTGGTGTAGCCGAGCTTGCCCTGGCCCATGCCGGAGCGGTCGGCATAGAGCTCCTGGGGCGTCGCCGAGGCGCCGTAGAGGTAGAGTCCGTTGTCTTCGGGGCCCAGGGCGAAGGTGGCCTCCTGCTCGGTGGGCTGGTCCGGGGTGTTGTTGCAGGTGGCGTTCTGCTGGGGGAGCCCGACGAAAATGCTGCTCAGGTCCGCCTGGAAGTGCTGCAGATGGATAGGGGTGGTGATGGCGAGGACCTGGAGCTTGAAGAAGGGGGGCGCCGAGCCTTTCTCCGTTTCATTCTGACGGGCGTGGATGTGCGAAGGGGTGGTGGCGCCAGGGACGGCGGAGGCCAAGGTGGCCGTGGCGACGAGCGCGTTGGTGAGCAGCATATTGGTAATAGGGTTGGGTGTTGTTCGACTGAGAGTGGATGTAAAGTAAAGACTGGTGTGGTTGGTTGATTATTAGATTGATATTAGAGTTGAGTGACTGTTGATGAGGTTTAAGGTGCAGTGAGTGAGAACCATCGAGATTGGTACCTACCACGAAGGCTCTATCCAATCCCTTTTGTATCAAAGCTCACAATGGCAATACCTACCGGTTGCCGTGCTGCCATCCGAGCTTTCCCGGGAACCCCATCCGCCAACCATCACTTCGTAATCATGGGGTGCAGTGGCAACGCTGCGCGGGGTGCACCGCCTCGCGGAGATCTTCTCGTAATACCTATGCCAGCCAGGGACAAAGCGGAGCCGATTGACATCATGGTGCCCTCCCTGTAGTGTACCTATGGGGAACATGGCAAATACGAGAGGAGCCTCGACAAGTATTGGGCTGGGCTCGGGCTTGGCGATGGGCTATCCATCTCTCTCAGCATTGCCGCTTATCGTCTGCGCTAATCCGGTTGGCTCCGTAACTCTGGTTAACCCTTCTTCTACTGTGTACAGCTCGTGATGGGTAATAGTTTGTGTACGTAGTATCCGTGACCAAGCTGACCACACCGTTAAGGGGACAAAAGGAGAGACAACACAAGCAAGCGCAGTCTCGGCAGAAGAAGCCTGCAAAGCAACCGGCTGGCTTGTGCCGTCATCTAATTAGCCCGGGAAGCTCACATGGATGATGAATGGGTCGCTAGATGGGAAAGGGGAGGCTGGGCTGGCACAGCTGCTTGGTGGCTATGTAGGTATGCAAACTATACTGCCAACATCCCTGGATCGCCCACCACAAAAGTCGCGCCACAACCCATGCGCTACTACGTACAGAGAGCATATAAAGGACATTAGTAGACAGACGTGATACAAGGCGCCAGCACATGCCACCAAACGTCTTAACACAAGTCTAGTGCACTCTCCGCCTTTCCCTGCGTATCCGTACAGGTAGGTTACATGCCCCGAAGGGCCGGAGGGTCACATTCTCCAGGGGAGGCAAACACCGCTAGATTAAGGGGGCAACGTAGCATGCAGGTACGGAGTACTTGTGCATGAATCTCGGGTGACACGGGAAGTCAACCCGCGGGGTTGCCGTTCGTATGGCTTCCCAACCAACTTCCACGACCAACAGGCCGTCCGCAAAGAGGCAATTGAATCCAGGACGCTACTCTGAAAGGGGGTTGGAACAGTCCAGAGAGTGATTCGAGTGTACCCGAACCCAACGCCACCAGCCTTCGCCCTCCACCATGCCGACGAACCTTAACTATTAACAGCTCGGTCGACGCTGATCAGTGCATCATCTCTACCGTAGGTAATAGTGCTTTCTTTGACTCCGCTGTCGAAGCCCCTCGGCTGCATTTAGCTCAGAGGCGAATGACCCCGTGATTCGCTAGCCTTTTGTGAGAACACGCGCGCGATCGTCATCGTTGTGCTCAACTGCCTCCGTAGAGGTCTCTACTAATTCACATGCGCTGTCTGGCAACGTACTATGTAGTGTAGCTATGACGGTACGGAGTCGGGAAAGGGCCGTTTATTCGCGCTGCAACTCATCTCCTCCTGAGAAACAACGCTCTCCTTGTTTGCCCTAACGGCCTGATCAGAACCGTCACCCTGGCCAAGCCGGACAGCCCGTGTTCGGACGGCCTCCTAACCCCAAAACTTCCATGTCATGTTGGGACGGAAATGGGTATTCTATGGAGACATGTGTCCACCTCATCCCGCCGACCCAGTTCCCAGCCTGACAACCTTGTTATTTACACTACGTAGTATTTTTATTACCCGCCCGTCCTAGCCACCCAAGATGGATGGGTTCGGAACGGTGCATTACTGGCCAGGAGGCTTCTAGAAGGCCTGGATGATCGTCAACCATCCCATTTTTTTTCGAGCGATCAGCCATCCGTTCTTTTCCCCCTCCTAAGCCTGACCAGTTCCACAGTTCTACCGTCCTCTTGTCCGATCGCCAAACACCATAGTCATGGATAAAATACTGCCTTGATGTGATTCTAGTGATTTAGGGCTAGTGTATCCCTCATACCCATGCCCCAGTCGATCCCCCCCGAGTCAAGACACTGCTCAACCTCGAGAGGAAATCCTGGTTGTGAAGATCCGGACAGAGGCGGAGCCAAAAGAATAAACTCGCGTCTTTGCACGTATCCAGACCACACACCAGGACAAGGCCCTCCCTGGACTGGGTCGCGACTGAGTCAATCATCCGGCCCGGCAAACCAAGCTTTCATCCCGCTTCGATCATCGTGCTCCTCTCCCTCATGCTCCGATCTGTGAGATACTCTCATCCATGCTGTTGAGCATCTCAGGTTTTGTCCGTGTTGAATGTGACACGGGACTACGAGCACCCCGCTGCCTCTGGGCAGATTTCTGGCTTGTAGGACAGCCATGTTGCAAGACGCAAAAGCAGGAGAGAGAATTTTGGTGAAAGTCAATGTCTTGACTGCCAACTTAGGTACTCTAGCCGCATCAGATGGATGATGGCTTGAATTTTGCAATACGATTGGTTCCCAGCTCGCGGCAGGGTCTATTCAGCCTACCTAGCCTACGGGGACGATGTGTACAAAGGCCCAAATTATCTTGACCGCATGCTTCTTCGCCTGATAACGCGACTTCCCATTGGCCGATTCTGTAATAAATATTTCATGGACACGGCCGGTCCGATGAGCCTCCAAGTCTGACATCTTGGATCATGCCTCAACGGTATGCTCGAGATGTTGAAACTAACAGAGATTCAGGCGCTGAGCTGGGCCTATCTTGGTTATTGAACTAGCGCGACTGTCTTGTCACATGTCAGCCGAGTCTATCAATCGGCCCATGGATGGCGGTATTACCATGCAACTGGCTGAAGGGTCTTGCGACACAATTTGGCTTTGAAGGAACTCGGGCTTCCATTCATATTTGTCTTTCTTTGGATTTCGGTTCGGATTTGATATCCGGGTTTGTTGAAAGACCGGGGCTGCGGGTATGTTAACAGACGTCAAGTATCCGTAACAGGGAAAGCTATGAGCAGTTGAAAAACGCTTGTGCCACGCCAAGGCTTAGATGATTATCCGAGAGCCCTGGTTTGTCCTAGTAATTCGAAACTATCAAACACTTTTGTTGTAGGCCTCTTACCCATGCCTGTAAATCCCTTCGAGTCCCAACTTGTGCTCTGTTCATCGCGGGTTGGCTAAAGCATGTTCACGTGGGCGTAAACAACAACATGGGACTAGTAATGTACCGATGCATGCCGCTGGAGTACCGGAGTGAGTTACACAGGTGCCCCGCATATTACGGGCGCTGTCATAGCCATGATTCTCGAACTAAGATGAGGGGAAACTGCCAAAAGCCAAAGACTAGGCCCATCCATCTGCTATGCACATGGGAAATCAAGATTTCTCATCATCCGAGGACTGTTGCCGGCTCTTCGGCTCCCGTCCGATTCATCAAGCACGTAAAAAGTAAAATAAAATAAATAAAAATGTCTCAATCTCGCAACGACATTCAGCCCACGGTGAAGCTGGCGGAGTACCTCTTCGCCCGCTTACACCAGCTCGGCATAGGTGCCATCCACGGTGTCCCGGGGGACTTCAACCTGCACCTCCTCGATTACGTCGAACCGGCGGGGCTGCTATGGGTCGGCAATACCAATGAGCTCAACGCCGGGTACGCAGCTGACGGATACGCTCGCATCAAGGGCATCGGAGCCCTCATCACGACTTCTGGCGTCGGCGAGCTCTCGGCGATCAACGCCATCGCCGGTGCATACGCAGAACGCGCGGCAGTTGTTCACATCGTCGGCACCCCCTCTAGGGACACACAGGATGCCCGCCTCAAGATACATCACGGGTTCAACGATGGGGAATATAGGCGGTTTGCGCAAATGCATGCCCACGTTACCGTGGCGCAGGCGGACCTGCGAAACGCGCTGCTTGCACCAGACCAAATCGACGAAGCGCTGAAGCAGTGCCTTGTTCAGAGCCGGCCAGTCTACATTGAATTTCCTCAAGACCTAGTGGCTGTCCCCGTATCAGCCAATAAGTTGCAGACCCCTATCCAGGTTCCGGGCCATGTAGCAACTTCGGCGACCCAGGCTGCTTTGGCAGTGGTAATGGAGAGGATACGAAAAGCGAAGCAGCCAATAATTTTCGTCGACGGAGAAGTGAGACCTCTACGCATCGTTAAGGAGGTGAACCAACTGGTCAAGGCCACTGGCTGGCCTACATGGACAAGTAGTTTTGGTAAATCTCTAGTCAACGAGACGCTACCTAATTTCCATGGCGTATATTCTGGGAAATTTGCCCAGCAGACCGAGAAGAATTTCGTCAATGGCGCGGACCTCGTTTTGTGTTTTGGGCCTCACTTCAGCTCAACAAACACCTCCGCCTTCTCCAGCATCCCGAAGACTGACGTTTCAGTGCTCTTCTACGACAAACTAGTAAAGGTGGCCGACCAGGTCTTCCGAGACCTGGATGCCAGGAGCGTCATCACTTCGCTTCTTCAGGAACTGGATGTTTTGAAGCCCTGTCGATATGCGCCCTACCCGGATCTCCCTCGAGATCACAGCATCCGCTTCTCGGAAGTTCCCAGGGAGGAGAAGATAGGTCATTCCAGGTTCTGGCACCTTGTATCCAATCTCATCCGCCCAGGAGACATCATTCTTGGAGAGACGGGCACATCTGGTCATGGCTGCCGGTTGCTACCGCTGCCAGTACATACTAGACTCTTCATCCCAGCTACTTGGCTCTCCATCGGTTACATGCTTCCAGCTGCGCAAGGCGCCGCCCTAGCACAGCGAGAACTCGTACAGTCGGACCAGTACCACAAGATCAAGGACGCGCGCACTATCCTCTTCATCGGCGATGGTAGCTTTCAGATGACCGTCCAAGAGATTTCAACCATCATTCGTCACAGCCTGGACGTCATCATATTCCTCGTCAACAACGACGGGTACACCATTGAACGATGCATACACGGCTTGGAGCAGCCGTATAATGATGTTGCTTCCTGGCGTTATCTGCAGGCGCCCAGCTTTTTTGGAGGCAGCGCGGAGACATATGTCCAGTCGGCAAGAACCTGGGGGGAACTGGAAACAATATTTGATGAGATGCCGTCAAACGGCAAAGGGCTACGAATGGTTGAAGTTTTCATGGATCGCGACGATGTGCCAAAGGGGTCACTTTTCGATCTACTTGAGAAAGAGAAGAAGCGAATCTTAGCTGCCGAGCCCCTACCATAGCGACTACGCGGGCTGATGTCTGCGTTCCAGTTTGCGTTGTCCTCTCGTATCTTCACTACCAAGCCGGATCATGATACTATGGTCCTCATACTGACAAATACCTCAAGTCTATAACCAATATTGCGGAGGAAAATCATTACTATCTCAATTAACAACTGACCAATGGTCCACAAGAAAGCAGAAACCACACATAGCACACGCAACGCCAAAAACTTGGATCGCGTGACATTACTAATCCAAAGACCAAAACTCGGAACAAGCTTCATAGCCTCAGGTGCCAGTGTTTGCCTTGTGCTTATTGTCGCTTTGGCCCTGCTGCTCTCTGAGCCTATCCGCCTCCTCCTTACGCTCCTGATCAATGCGCCTCTGGTCTTCCTTTCGCTGCTGTTCACGCTGTTTCTGGTCAGCGTCCTTGGCCTGCTGTTCCTGATGCCTGTACTCGGCGTCTTGGTTTTGCTGTTGCTGATGTTTGTACTCGGCATTCTTAGCCTGTTGTTGCTGGTTACGTCTGTACTCGGGATCTTTGGCTTGCTGCTGTTGATGCCTGTACTCGGCGTCTTGGGCTTGCTGTTGCTGGATACGCCTGTCCTCGGCATCCTTGGCCTGCTGTTGCTGAACGCGTCTGTACTCGGCGTGTTGGGTTTGCTGTTGCTGATGTTTGTACTCGGCATCATCCTTAGCCTGCTGTTGCTGGAGGCGCAGGTCCTCGGCAGCCTTGGCTTGTTGTTGCTCGCGGATCAGTTCATCATCCCTGTTCTTCCCATTCTGATCGGACCTGATCAACGCATCCTGTTGGTCTCGGCATTTCTCGTCGGCCCGAATCAATTGGTCTTGGGCTTCTTTGCTGCTTTGTGCCCCGTTAATTCTTTGGTCTGCAACTTGCTGACGCCATTCCTCTGCCCGTATTTGCTCGTCGATCGAGTCTTTGTCAGGACTGTAAACCTTTTGTTGCTGAAGCTCGCCGACGCGGGCCTGGCTCTGAGTCTTTTCGTACTGGGCCTGGCTGATGATATCGAGCTGCTGCTGTCGCACTCCTTGCAGATATTGAATCCGATCGCCGCAGTTGTCTTTAGCGAGGTACGCCTCACGAATTCGCTCATCCTCATTAGCCCTTTGTGTCGCATAGTCATCATGGTAGCCCTTTGATTGGACCTCAGGCATTTTGTATGCGAGGTCCCTGTCGTAGGCCTTGGACCGTTTTGTGGGACCGTAGTAGTTTCTGTGAGATCCGGAGTACTGGGTATCTACAACACGGTTGTTGCCCCTCTGCGCTTGCTTAGCGTCTTCCAACTCCTGCTTCTCCTTGTTCTTTTCACTCTGAAGGCGGGCCTTGTCCTTCTGGTTCTGTTGCTTTACATCGTTTAGTTCCGCTTGTTCTTTGGCCTTATCCTTCTTGGCTGCCGCCTTGTCCCGGGAATTGGTAGCTTCTTTCTCCCTTTGGCGCGCGTCATCAACCTCTTGTCGCTCACGATCCTCGCTTTGCTTGGCCGCCTGGTGTTGTGCCCTTTGCGCGGCCTGAACATCTTTGACCTCATTCTTCTCCTTGTCTACACGAGCCTTAGCTGCAGAGTTCGAATTCCCTTTATTCTGGTTTTCGTTACGACCCTCAATGTCGGCAAAGTCGTTGACTTCTAAGTTGCGGGTCTGAGGGTTTTTGGCTTCCTCGCTAATTTCATGCGGCCGGAGCGTGGAGGAAATCTCGTTGATCTCATTGAGCTCTTGGTCATCAGAACCTTTGATGTCCTTGAATGTTCCAGAGTCACGGGAGTAAGTGCCGCTGTCGATGCTTTTTCCAGCTGCTTCTGCTGGGGCCCAAATACCGCGATTCTGGAGGTCACTAGCAGAATTTCCACTAGTCTCGATATTGTGGGTGAGAGGAGCGCCAAGGGCGTTCGAGATAAGTGTGAAGAGTAGAATAAACTTGAGGGAGGCCATTTTGAGCGATAAAATCATGTGGGTAGATAGAATAGAAGCTTCGTTCTGTGGTAACCTACAACAGATTCGCTAGACAGATTTTCTTTCGGAGAATCTGGTTGCCTCCCTCTCCTTTAATACTCGAGCCTTTCCGCTAATGTATTTTGCTTTCTTTGGATCATAATGTCTGTACCAGGAAGCTACATGCTGTACCCGCGAATAAATTCGAAGCAACTTGAACCGGCTAACAAGGTTAGAGGTGATCCATAGTTCCGCCTTGATTTCGGCACATCGTCGTTCTGTGACTTGATCTTCTCCCGCTAACTAATGACCGAAAGCCCAGCTGCAGGTCTCAGGTCACAAATCTGCGCGGGCAGACGGGCGTGGTGTTTACTGACTGTACTTGAATGTAGTCTCTACGCTTCCTCGATCGGTGTGGGTGGTTTGTATATTACCTTTAGGTTATGTTCCGAGCATCTTGAGACGAAAAGATTCAGAGAAAGGTGCTAGTCGGACATCTGACTCGAACTCAAAGTAATACCGACTGCATAGCATCTCATAGTGACAGCGTTTGTTCTTGCCGTAGGACCCCATTGGGCAGCATCTCTCTTGAGTCAGATGCAAGCCCAGCCGGCGAATCTTGAGGTTTGGCAAGTTTAGACTCGATGCGAGCCCGACCAGCTGGGAACGGGTTCCCAAGGGCGGGGTTCGATTCTCGCGGGCCACGTACATCTCCCGTTACAGGAAACTTAAAGACACCTATCGACTTCCGAGACTACGCAATTCGTCACAAGATATGCTGAAAGTTCACTGCGCCAAGAGCCTCTAGACCGTTAAACCTCTGTGCGTAAGTTTGCGGCCTCTCATTTCTAGGTAATGACCCGGCGATCAGAAATAAACGCTGTTAATAACTTAATAGTTACGGGCAGGAATCAACGCCTTATATTCCACGTGACACACAAAGCCAGTTTCGCACTTATATAACCAGTAGGTAAGGCTGAAGCTATCAAACCTTCCCATCGGCATCTCGCCGAAATCTCGATTGGGGCTCCTTAGGTTCCGTAGGTGAAACGTCTACGATTTCACATGTTTTGATGAGACTACCGGGAATGGAACCGAGAGGTACATGAGGCTCGGCTCAATGACTGCCCAAGACTATTGCGGCCTAAGTGCTTTAATATGTTCCACGGGAAATTTTTCGCTGGTAAGGCATTCTCACCCGTCGTTCAGCGGCAAATTTGTCAAGCGTGGGTGGACATCCACCAAGTCGGCAGCAACTGACTCCCAATATTACGAATCCCTTCATTTTCATTTGCCGATCTGAGGAATTGCGGCATAGTATACGGAGTACTCAAGAAAACTCAAACATCCGAGATGCAGAATACATGGACCTAGCTCTCTGACAAAGTTGTCACGGCTTACTTCGCCACTCTCCTAAGGCCTTGAGTAGTATGCCGGTACCAGGGTGGTCTGTATATTCAGGTAGCCGTCCTAGAGCCGACGAGATGAAGTGTTAGTGATGTAAGTAGAAATGATATGCGACCGAGCGTGCCTTTGAGTATTCGAAGTATGCTGTTTAGTGTCCGTTTAGCTTTATGATTTTGTCTTGCATCCCATGAGCTGTGTTCAAGTGGCCATTTGATGATGTGGAATCTTTTGTGAGGAACAGTGACTTGACTTAAGCCTGCTCATTTTATGATTATGCGTCTATATTACTACCACATCAGTGATCCCACGCGGGACATCCTTTTCGTCGCATGAAGATACGCATCGGCCACGAGATTAAAGCAATTTCTATGCAGTAATTGAACAGGCTCTGTATAGCTTGAAACTATCCGGCTAGATTCTACGGCTGCAAGCTAGTTAGGAGTCGTCAAGTGAAATCGTGAACTATATGTGAATTCTATACACCTGTATCGAAAAGCTCATTTAGGATCTTACTCGACCACACAATACATGTATGAACTGACTTCTCGGCTATGATATCAAAAAGAAAAAAGAATCCCGAATCTCAAAAGCTAGACTGTCCTGAGCGACGTCTTTCCCGTCCATGAGGTCTGTTCCGCGAGTTGATAATGAATTCATATTCTCTAAACAGCAGCGAGGCCATGTTGAAAACGTTACGTACAGGTGCCAAAGATTCCGTTTGCACATTGAAGAAACTGAATTCATGGTCTGACTTTCTACTACAGCACTAGTCTAACAGTAACAGCAAGTTAGACGTTGGTAAGTTAAGCTTCAAGAAATGCATAATGATTATTGCCCATCGGCACTCAAGCCTTACACACTTTTGTATTGAACCTTAAAATCCGCCTTTGGCATCCAAGTTTCACGCATCAAGTTGGGCTCCATCGGTGTCGTGGCCGAGAATCCATCCTGTGACCGAAGCATATCGTGGACTTTACAGAAATTCCTCGAAACATTCCTCGGTCGCGGTACCGCCTAGATGAAACGAGAGCAAACAGGTAGTTACAGTCGACCAAACCATGCTTACGCTAACTCGATGAACTGCGGTGGCACCCCTCTTCGAAGGTCTGATTATAATAGGAGAGCCAACAGTCACGATGATTCCTCAGTCTATGTCATCAGGATTTGCTACTGTCGTATCAGAAATCTTTGAATTGTATAAAATTTAGTGCATTCATGAAATAACAGTGACTTGTAAAATCATCCTGTTAATGTGTTGTTTCTGACTTTGAAACGGTAATGCTCCCCGCGATCCAAGTACACAACTCTATCATTCTTGCCCTCTGCATCAACCTCCTTTTTGAAGTCTTCCAACGGCGACAAGAACACATCGTAGTCATCGTAATGAATGGGTATCGTGACATCAGGATTGACCAGCTTAATAAGCTGCATACCCTGCTTGGCATCCATCGTAACCATCAACAAAGGAGCTGAAGGGCCTGGGATTGTGGTCCCCCCGAGATGAACCAGCATCAAGTCGACACGCTCATCATTGAGCCACTCGGGGATTTTCTTGAGTTCATCGACCATCAACGTATCGCCAGATATGTATATGCGGTAGCCAGTCTCGAGTGCCGCAGAGTTGGCGGGTGGGCCAATACTGGGACAATACCCCAATTCCAACATCCAGCCATTTGTCGGAGGTACAGCTTTCAAGACATCGTTGGCAGCCGATAAAGGGCCGGGCGGGACATGTTTGCCCGGCATGCCAGTGACTTTGATAGCTGCGTGCTTGTCCTGTGATTCTGATGGAGAGCGAGCAATTTCAAGCCGAAGATCCTGGAAGAAGTCGAGATCAACCACCTTTTTGAACGGTTCAGGTTTTTCCGAAGATGTTAGACAAGCTTTAGCATGCGGCGTTGTGATGATAGGGAAACTGCGATTCAGCGAGTCTTCCACATGGCGGTCGAAGTGATCCTCGTGATAGTGTGAGAGAAGGATCGCGTCCAGCGGTGGAAGTTCTTCGAGGTCGATCGCCGGGTTGGTCTTGCGTTCAGCTGTGACGCCAGGCCCGAGATGCACGTGGTCCCCAGCATGGAGAAAGTTCGGATCTGTTAGGATGCGGATTCCCTGCCATTCGAGGATTGTCGTCGCAGTGCCAACAAATGATATACTCGCATCTTCATCTTCGGCACATATGCCGCGGGGATGCAAGTGTTGTTTGCCGAGAGGAAGGCTCGCGGGCTCTTTCGTCTGGATGCCCTCTCGGAGAAGTCCTTCTCTATGAGCTGGATTCAATGTGAAATGCTTCATAGCAGACATATCGGGCTCATGAATCGTCAAAGTCGTGTTTTGGTAAGGTTACCAAGTTGAAGTGGACAAAATCATTATAGAGGCTTAACTGATCACTCAAAGCCCGGAAACTCAAGGAATCAACGAAGTCATAATGACGTTCATTATACGCAATGAGCTGCAGTGATGCAATCATCAGCAGTGAGTGCGGGCGGAATACGCTATTACAGTCGGCGAACGCAGATTAATCATGTGGCACAACCCGTCGCGATTGTATACTAAATTGTAATTGTTCAAACCTTACGCGCTGTTCATAATAACTATTCGAACTTGCAAAATGTTGCCCAATATGTGACCCGAAGCGAATCACGCTGCATCCCCTTCCCAACATCTTAATCAAATACAATTAGTCGCTATTTCACCACATTCAACGCTTCCATCGTATGCCTTGCTGGTATTAGACCTAACTGGAACACATTTATACCCTTGAAGCCATTTCTGAAGCGATTCTGGCATACTATAGCAACTAATTACAACCCTATACCGTTACAGTAAGCAACAGCAGCGTGTTACGTAATAGCATTAGTATAATACACCAGGGTGTAATACTCCTATTTAACCACATAGAGTAGGGGCTTACTACAGGGTGGTAGGGGTAACTAAAAGCTCCCAGCCATGTTACCCCCTATAGCTAACTAACATCATTATACTATGTAAAAGGGTAATATTTACTAACAGAGAAGTTTTGTAGTAGGGGGGTGCGTATTAGTTACCTAATAAGGAGCTTTTACTTTAGCTAGATACTATTATATATTCTACAAGGCCTATAGAATAGTAACTATTATTTATTAATAGTATTAGTATATTATAAGGAGTAAGTAAGAAAGGCCATAGTTTAATTAGATATAAAGTAATACCTAATAAAAAGAAAATAAAAGCTAAATTGTAATTAAGCCTTAGAATAGGAGAAGACATAAAGTATAACTTTATTATAGTATAGTTTAAATTAGATACATATAGGGACGCTCTCTAGGGTAAAAATAGGGCCCAACCGTGATTCGAACACGGGACCTCGCCCAGTCACGCTGAGCGTGAGGATTGTTCTAGTACCCGAAGGGCGAATCATACCACTAGACCATTGGGCCGGAGGCGCAACTCCTTGATCGTGAAGCAAGGGATGGTGGGGTGGCGAGAATTGGGAACTATCGTACGTACCATCACCCGCGTGAATAACCGTCTTCATTATCTCACCATGAGAACTTGGCGGCTCGACTCCCTTCTTTATATCCCCAGATTTGCTGTCTGAAACTCGCTTCAAAGCTTGGCCTCAGAGTCCACAGGCATGACCCGCAACGCAGGGTATACACAAGAGCTTTAGTGTCCACACTATCATATCTGAGCGGCCAAAAGGCATAGGTCCCTTGCAACATTAAATGCGGAGGCTTACATCTGTATTAAACTTTTCTATCTCTAAGGGGCAATGGAAATCTTCAATGGGCAGCCAAAACGTTTCAGCCGGTTCCTGAGTTGAACTGGGCAGCCCAGCCTCATTTCGGTAACAAAGACGTCCGAGACCTGACGCACTTTATCCAACGTTTCCACATGCCGAAGATAGGCTATAGACCGAACCTATTACGGACCAGAGCATTGGATGTGTAGATGGACTGAGGACAAGCTATTGATCCGCAGTACATGCAGTCATGACGCTGGCTCTCTAAGCCACGGGACGCTGCTTCTATGTCGCGATGGCACATGTACGTGGTCAGCATGAGAGAAGAGCACCAGTGCTCAAAGGAATTGGTAACGACTTTTCCGGTGACACAACCATCCTAGGTTGAGCGGCTATAACTTAAACTCCGGCAGGTTCGCGCGACGATTTGAGCAATCCAGTTTGACAGGATCAAGAATCGCACGCCAGACTTACTTGCTGTGTCTGACCACGTGGGCAAACTAGGATCATCATGCGCCGTTGTTGGCGCAACGGTCAAGGAGCATATTGTATAAGACTGGCTGGCGCGTCGCGCATTGCCACGTTGCACGTATTTGCCATTACTCGGAACGCCGCCAAGCCTTTGGTCCACCGTCCGTTCGCGTCGTCCCGTCGATTCCGGGTGGCATACGATGTAAAGAAGCAGACCCAGATTTTGCCCTCAGCCATGAGCAGGCGGGGCAACTTGCCCACATACTGAGTAGTCTGCAAGGATTCCCGAGAGCGAGGTGGAAGGGTACCCCAAGTCATGGTTGGGGACGGACGTCGCAAGTTTCCAACTTTCTCCCTTATTCCAAGGACAAGACGCGCGCGGTGCGCAATCCGTAGGCCTGCCTTATCGACGATTCAACGTCAACGAGCGGTAGCCCTATGAACAGGTTCTTTCTTTCAGGGGCCGAGATAGCATAAGCCGCCGCAGCTGAGACACGGCCACCAATCCCTCCTGTTTGCGAACATGCTGATCATCTGTTCTACGAGGAACTCTGGTGCGCAGATCACGCCAGGGTTACTCAAGCACGCATCGATCTCGGCAAGAGCGACTCGCTGGACCAGCGCCGGATCACGGCATGCATTAGTGACAAGGCACGCTTCCTTTATTCAGACGATTGCAATGCGACCCTACTATAGTATGTAGAACCACCCTTGCAGATCATTACCGTCCGCAGAGCCCGAGCACAGGGGAGTCAGATGACAGGGGCTTTTGATGCTTCGAGCATGGTTTATGACTCGTGATCGTGGACACTGACAATCACCTCGCATCTCTCTGCGTTTCAGTCGTCTGAAGATTTGGTTTAGCCAGCATGAGGCTGAGCGATGTGCTGTGTGGCCCCGGCTTTCGGTTCTGTACCACTAAAGTTGATATGGTATCTAGCAGATTTTCCAGAAATTCTTGGGCTTTGGTCAATATACAATAGCAACAACAGAAGGGTTCCAATCACATCTCGGAAGCACTTCGAGTTGTTGAAGCGGGATTAGACTTGCAAAAGGTGGGAAACCGTAAGCCCCTTCTAACACCCTGGGAGTTTACTGGTGGATTTCGTCTTCCCCCTGCATCAGCTGGGTAACCTGGCACGTTTACAGGGTGTCGGCATCTTTCAAGTTACAGCGTGCCCCGGGATGGCGGGTGGTTAATACCTTTCAAAAAGGCCGCTCCGCCGTCAGAACTACATGGTGGCATGAACTCTCTTTGGCCGGTGGCCCGTCATGCCTCGACACAGCAGATATCTAGATCGCAAACTTTTGTGATGTTGTTGCCTTCAACGCCGTGGACGGCGTTCCTGCTGGCCAGCGTCCTTTGCCCGCCAGTTCTCGCAGTCGGGAGTTGTTACAACTCTGCACAACCACTGATATTGCCCATCAAAGTAAGGATCTCGCGCGAGTCATCCGGTCTCTTTTCGTCATGTCTGTTTTCTTTTCCGTCCGTGTTTCTTGTTGTGTTGCTGTTGCATTTTGTTGACTTTTGTGCGTCTCTAACAGAACATCACATTCTCGAATGGCATCGGTGCCAATCGAGGCCTCAAGCTCACGCTTGGCGGCCAACTACAAGGCATGCGCATGTCTACCATATTGAACAACACGCGCGTGAGGAATAGTCTGGACTGCCCAGACAACAACACTTTTGCATTCATCGGTTGCCAAGGGTCTTCTGGGAGCGTGTACGACACAACAAGAGGCTCTTTTACCCAGGTTGTCAACATTCAGGACTGGAATGTGACGTACGGCACCGTACATTTCCTGTCTGTATCTTGTAAGCGGCTAACAGTTCCAACAGAACCGTCGATCAACAGCCCGATGATGGCGCCACAACAGTGCTGCATGGATACGATGTCGCGAACTTCACCGACGGCCCGGCTGTGGCCTTTGGCTATCCCTTCGAAGTTTGGGCCGACTACGATGCCGTGAACAAGAGCGCCGTGGCATTCGGGCCCAACTCTTCAACCCTTGATAGCTTCCTGAGAAATAAGGTCGCGCCCACCAGAAGCTTCAGCCTAGACTATGGTTCCACCTCTGAACTACATCCCCGCGATGGTCAACTCATCGTCGGTGGCTATAACGAGGCTCGATTCAACGCCTCTCAAGTTTCTACTTTCCGCATGTGGGGAGCCAACGCCCCGGTTGCCTGCCCGCTGCAAGTCACCATTGCCGACATCATCCTGACCAACAAAGACGGCGATCACCCCCTTACCGATCCCGGTACCAGAGTGGCGGCGTGCATCGACACCGTCCACAACAGCTTCACATTCACGCCCGCCATTTACAACAAATTCCAGAATATCGGCAATAGCGCCGTCGACCATACCAAATCCAAGGGAGAAGCTTTCGACGAGTCCAATTTTTCACTGGACCGCGAGCCTTTGTTTGGAACTCTGACGATCAAGCTGACCAATGGTTACACAACTGTGATTCCACATTACGAGCTCGTCACCAACGTCCGCGGCACCGACACGCAGGGCAAATACGCCGTGTTGAACAACACGCGACTCAGCACTACCGTCTCGTCCGGGATCGGCGATCTGGGCGAGAATGTCCCCATGCTGGGCGGCGTCTTTCTCTCACAGAACTATCTCCACGTTGACTACGATGCGGGGACCTTCTGGCTCAGCCCGCAAGTTGGCAACGGAACTCTGCCTGACCGCATCACAGCAGCGTGCAATGGCAGTTCAACGGACGATGGCGAAACATCGGAAGCTGTCATCCAAATCGGCGTGCCGGTAGGAGTCGGTGCGGGAGTCTTCTTTTTCATCGGGCTGTGGATCTGGTCAAGGCACCGCAAGCACAACCTCCAGTCTAGAGATGCTTCCAGATCCATTGCCCGCAACGAGAAGCGTGACGCTCCAGATTCCAGAGCCTCCACCGCCATGTTTGCGGGCCATGGCTACGCCAACAACAACTCAACGGGATCTCATCCCACCAGGCTGGCGGTTGATAACTACACCGGCCGCGCAAGTGGTCCTCTTCCCACCCGGTTTGCGGGTTACGACAATGCTTACCACACAAACCCCGGCGAACACATGGAGCTTGAAGGCGACCCTGGTCTGCCTGTCGCGCAGCGAGCGGAGTTGGAAGAGCCGGTACCACCATACAGGGCCGAATGGCCCCGGCAGAACTCCATTCAAGGGGAGAACGAGAGTTACTACAGACAGTTTGATGAACCAGGCGAGACCTACGAGCTCGCAGACACTTCGTCGTACTCAAAGCTTGTTCCGCTGGCGAGTCCGCTACCCGCGCAGGATGAAGAGGCTGGCCTGAGCGAGCATCAGGTCCCGAGTTCTAACACTTTGCAGGGACATGCGACAGCATTCAGCGATGTCGTATCCCCAACAAGTGAAGGGACAGACAGCACAAACGTCCATTCACATGTATCTCCTGTTTAGCGTGTTTCAATTAGTAGATGAGTAATGATAATCAATGGGCCATGAACAGCCTTCCAATTCTGCATAACAAGTTCTTTATCGGGTCTTGGATCTAAGGTGGATTTTCCAATCGTAAACATTATTTTGCCCGTGAGCTTCTGTATAAAGGTAAACTCGAATGACTGCATGATAACCGGTCCGATTAGGACCTCCGCTGACCATACCAGGCTCCCAAAAATATGACGGTGCCCAGGCTAACACCGACAAGAACGAGAACACATCTACTCTCTATCGAGCGGCCCACGAGCATGGCAAGTATTGCGGTGAGTATAGGAACGAGCATCCACCATCCGAAGGAATTATCGTACAAGGTAAGCGCCACACAGGGTCCCAGCATGCCCAGTATGGCGAATAGCCACCATTTTTCGTCTTTGCAATACGCCCACGTCCCTCGCCAGAGGTCGTACGTTTCCGGCGCGTCTACTCTATCGAGCTCGATGCTTCCCCCCCCCAGGCGCTTCTTGATCTCCTCGCGGAGCTGGTTGTGGGAGAGGTCGTCCGGGTCGGACTCTTGGAGTTGTTTCCGAATGGCATCGGACAGCTCCAAAACACCCTTATACTCTTTTGGCACGTCGTATGTCCGCCTCATCCGCATCGTCAGACGAGCCTTGATCCACATGTAGGCAATGCAGAGGGTCCAGACCAGCAAGAGGGTTATCAGAATAAACAGCTGAAGGTATGAGAAGCCCCATTCGTAGCTTTCACGCACAGATTCGGCGATGGAATCACGTTCTCTCGTGGGCTGGCAGCTTCCGTATCCTTTCACATAGCTGAGGGGGTAGATTTCATTCCCAAATGCGTAAGTCGCCTGATTTCCGTCTTTGAATGGTTGCTGGCCTGTGCGAGGGTCGGTCCAGTTCCAGCCGTACATCTCTCCAGATGGAAGCAGCCATGTTGCTGAGATGTTGAGGATGGGCGCTGGAAGAGATCGACCCATCCAAGTAGATTCTTTATCCTCCAGTCCGTAAAATCCGTATTTCTGGACATCTTCCCAGATAATGCGTCAGCCAGGTTGCGTCACTTTACAAGCCGGGGAAACATACAATCGGAGACATTGCGATGCATGGAGCATCTATCCCCTACAGGTACGGAGGGTGTTCCTTCTTGGCTTGACCGCCAATATCCGCGTCCACTTGAGTGATCCTCCATGCAGGAGGATGAATATCGTAAGAATAGACTATTCTCAGAGTATCTGTTGTAGCTTGTCGGGTCTTTGCTTGTCAGTGCCCTGCAACCAAGTGGATCGGCCATCACTTGATCCATGCCATTTCCAAGACTCACCTCGTACGGCATAATAGGTGAGCACAACATCGCCAGTCATGTTAATTCTGTGGGCTTCATGAATGACGTACGCGGCAACTTTGAAATCGGAAAACGGTTTCAGGCTGCCGTCATATCCTATGATATAAGCGTCATTGTTTGCCGAGTATCCCGTCATTGCACTTCCAAGTGTAGGGAACAGCAGAATGAAAACCGCAACAAAGACCATGATAGTCATCATTACTCGAGATTGCAATCCACGAGAACGAACAAAATCGCGTGCGAGGTAGAACGTTGGCCAAATGCCGGGTTGGTCCTGGAGGAAAATCGTCTGGAACGTCTGGTAGGTCACAGGCCTGGCTTGCATGGAGACTGCAGTGTAGTCTGCGAACGCTCTCCAAGAGGTCGACGCAAGCAAGGCTTGACCGCCGCGGCCAAACACCTTATCAACTACTTGTTAGTGGCGATACTGACCAACGAAAGGGAACATGCTTCGGGGCGGAGAAGTCTTACAATGTCCCACGCAACGTCAATGGCCTTCGCGTCTGCGAAAGACAACCTGCCCCAGCCCAACGTGATCTGGAAGAACCCAGATGCCGACCAAAGGTTATAGGCATTCTGAAAAACATCGAAGTTGCCATCTGGTTGACAGGCATTAGAGCCCCATGCAATGGACGAGATACCGAGGAAGAAGGTTAGAAGAATGAGTGCTGTGATCCATCCTAGGGCAAATATTGAGATCATAGTCGCGAACCAGTCGACGGCTCCGACATCCTTCAACGCGGCCGTTGCAGCTTTCTTCCACTGTCTCTTATCCCACATACGCTGCCGGAGTTTCGCAAGTTTGAATTGCACGTTGAGGCTCTTCCTACGGGGCCGTCCCTCAAGGACAAGGAGAGGCGCAGTCGATCTGGCGGATGGCGTGTCCGGCCCCATCGCTTCCGATGAGCCCATGGTCGTGTGTAGTCGTGGTCGTAACTCTCGCCCGGTTATGAGATTGGTTGTAAGCCGTCCTGAAGCGTATGTGACCACGGCCCCATGCACCCGTGGGTGGGGAACGACCGAACATTAAGTATCCGTCGGCAGCAGAGTGTCAGGAAACCAACCCACAGACGGTCAGTTCGCGCAGTGAGAAGAGAAGGGTGCGCATCCCTCTTCAAGCTTCCCAGGCCAGTGCTTCGCCTGCAGTGTGACGGGGGCGAATGCAGCCACTGGCCAACCATGCCACCCTTGGTAGCAGGGGTTATATCATATGAAGCCAAATGGCTGCCTTGAGAGCGACCTGTAGGATGCCGATCTTGGCTGGCAGTACGGATATGCATTCCAAAGCACGCACTCACGCTGCCGATCGCCGTCCTATAATGCGTCGTGTCAGCCCTGGTGACATCATCTCCCGCGAAAGATCCTTAAACGTGTCTGACAGGTACAGTCTTGTTAGGCTTCCGTTGGAGCACTACCGCGTCGCGCGAGCACTTCATGAACGGTGGGGGGGGTGCATTGCGGGCGCGCTAGTTATGCAAGTCAACAACCACACTAACTGAACATCTATTTCAGCTTACCAGCATGGCAAGTTTAGCTTGGCGTATCTTGTACATCCTTATACACGCGTTGTGAGTCTTGACGGTCCTATATATGGAGGTCATCTGTAAGCTGTCCCGGTATTGCCTGTCAATTCAAAATAGCGATCGTCAACCAGTCAACATCCCAATCAAACAGTAGTATTTACTGAAACAATGATCCCATCTATTTATCATGATCATGTGATTAAACTCTAAATGGTGTTCGGATTCAGGCCAAGCGAGCCCCTCTGTGACTTCACCTCCAAGGCGCCTCTCAGCCACGCCGCGTAGCTCTAGTCCTACCAACTACGCGTGTAGGAAGGATGAAGTCTCAGAACGACCCGCGCTAGAGAGGGGGGGGGGGCTCCTGGAGAGCCTGTCCTCTTACTGTTTGTCTTTGAAGCCAGTTCTAACAGCAACGACAAGAGAGCAAATGCTGCTTTGTCAAGCTCCAAGGAACAGTCTTCTTCCAAAGAACAGTCATATTGTCCTGAACAAAGCAGATTCGGAGGGAAACAAGGCTCTTGTCGGGCTCTCCATGCACCTGTCCGGAGTCTTTGAATAGCTTCCCTACACGATCGATTTGTTTTGAAGCAAGGTTGAGAGTACCCCCAATAATAGTTGATATGTCCTACAGGCCGTGAACTACTACCATGCAGTCATATTATACACACCCGCAAACATGTATATATACGGCGCGACCTGCTTTCCTGTGCATACAGACCCCCAACAACCTCACCAAGCAGATCCAAATCCCGCATTCGTAAATCCAAGAAGAAAAAGCAGAAAAGAAAGAAAGAAGGCCGCGCATCATTCATGAGGAACGCCGTGTCCAAGTTAGTCGGCGAGAACAAGCCGGCGATGAGCGACGTCGAGGCGACCGCGCCCGAGGCCATCAGCGCCGTCATGGAACGTCTCCTGGCCCAGACGTCGATGGAAGGCGTCGACGCGCTCGTGCGCGAGAGCCCGTCCGCCGCGGCCGTCTTCCGCAGGAGCGAGAACAAGCTCCGCATCCTCCGCGGCCTTGTCGCGCCCCTGGCATGGGAGGACGCCGTCGCCTGCGTCGACCGCCGCCTGCGCAGGGGCAAGAGGGCGCGGCGGGCCTTCGACCAGGACTACGCAGACGGCACCGTGTCGAGCCTCCCTGCCCACCAACATGACGGTGATACCGCCGCTGACACGACATCGGGTGCCGCGCCCCCGGCATACCAAGGAGGCAGGCGGCGGGGTGGTCCCGGGGTGGCGGCGGCGACGGACCGCGGGCAGTGGGACCTCGACGACCTCTGTGAGCTGGTCCGCATCGTCGACAGGCTCCTCGCCCGGCCTCGCCAGAAAACCTACCCGACCTTCGCGGCCTGGGAGGCTTCGTGGCGGTGCGCCAACCCCCGCCGCGACGTACACGCCTACCGCCCCACGACGGTGCCCGGCCGCAACGCCACCGACGACTGGACCCTCCGGGACCCCGACGGCGGCGGCGAGAAGCGGCACTACGAGGCGCTCTGCCGTGACCACGGGACCGAGGACCCCGAAAACTTCGAGTACGCCTTCCGGCGCCACACGAGGCTCGAGAGAGATTCCGACAAACTTGTAAGGTCCTAGCGCAGGGAATCTCGAAGATGGCTCGCGTCCGCCTCCAGCGCGTAATATTCCTAATCGGGAGCGCATGAATCAGTTAAGGTCATGGAGCACCAAGGTGGTTCCACGACACCTGCGAAAATTAGGAATAGCCGTGTTCTTCGTACCGTAATAAAGGTCCGTCGGTAATAATAAGCGACTTTTGCAAAAGTAAGCGTATTTTCGGCAGCCTACGCATCAACCGCGAGTAAGAATGTTGGATAGATTTGTTCTGCTTTCAATGCCTTATTCCGCGAATACTATAGCCGTGGGCGGAATGCAAGCAGAG